GATATTGTTGCAAATATCAATTATCTCATTTTGTATCCTAGGGCTAAGATAAGTAGCATTTTTATTGCCACTAATGAGGCTCTCCATTAATACAGGATCTCCTAATGCTTTAAATTTTAAAAGTCCACGAAAATTACCTTCCTTATCATTATTATTAAAATTTAAGCTGAATCCTTGTGGCCACGTAGTGCTAGGCCTTGCAAGCCACAATATAAAATAGCCTCAATAGTTAGTTTTATCTTACATCTATTTTCTTTTGCGATTTTAAACCTGTTTTTATCAATAAGTGATGAAATGGGAATCTTATCCCCCTTTTGAATTGATTCTTTTGACGAAATCATCAGTTCACAGCTTTTGTGATAATTTGTGTATTTGTTGAAAAGAGTCTTAACAAGAGTGTTAAGCTTAACTAGATTTCTGCGAGCATATCGTGGTCCAAACAGGACACATATCTTGCAATATGGAGTATGCTAGCCATAACCATCTAGTAAAATAGCTATTTTGAAATTTTAACTTTCGGTTAGCACATAAAGTTTGGGGATATTGAAAATTGAGGGGTGGAATATAAATCTATTATTAAATAAAATATTTATCATGGGTATCTTTAATATATACCTTTTTAAGAAGTATATGTCTTTCTTCTAGGCTAATATTATCTTTATCTAAAAAATTGGCTATATCATATGGATGATCATTGTACTCTAGTTTTGTATAAAGATTTTAGTTTTAAGTTTATGTCTAAATATTGAGATGTAAATTAAAATTATTTTTAAAAAAATTATTGCTGCACATTGTTGCAATCTCATTCTTTTACTAAATTAAATATCTAAAATTATTATTTATTAAAAAATACCAACTAAGTTTTTATAAAACTGCCCAAATGTATTTTTAGAATAACTAATCTTTAGATGGCTCTATATCCTGACTCTCAATTATTCTTTCAACAATACTTTTATTATTTGCTATTATGGGAGGGGTTTTAAATGCTAAAAATATTTTTAAAAAATTTTATTAAATTATTATATTATACTTTTTTGCTTTTTGGTATGATTTTCACTATCTTCAGTGTTTTAAAAAAAAAGTCTAATATCCATGACTAGAAATTTGAAAATGGTGAAAATATAATACCGGGAAATTTAAAAATAATAGATAAATATTACGCTAAGGAAAACTTGAAAATGAAACTAATTGATAAAATAAATTAGTAAATCAAAAAGGTAATAATATAAAAATTTAAAAAGAACGAGATGAATAAATATAATAAAATATAAATGAATATAAACAATAATATTTTTGGAAAATATATCCGGCATCTGCATTTTTGGCTTTGGGAGGGGGGGGGAGGGGTTGTCCCCCTGCCCCCCCCCCCGCTGCGTACGCCAATGACTCCATCACATTCCGATTTGCCATGAGATGTGGCCCAGAAATGCCATAGCTTATATTCCGAAATCATTTATGGTGACAAAGATTGAATGAAAAGTGGAAGAATTTTTTTGAGCGGTTTTAAATTTCTTGATAAGTAGCTGACTAAATATTTTGTAATAAATGAATGCCAATTGTATTATGAATGAAGATTCCTATATAATTACGCAAATTTTAATTGTAGTAATTAATCATAAAAAGATGAATTACAACTTGCCTCTTATTCCAGTAAAATCCTTGCACCTAATTTTGAACCACAAAGGCACAATTTTTAGCAAAATCTGCCTGAACGATATATTCTGCTTCATATAAATTATTTTAATAGAATTCAAGCCTTAAAAGGTCTTGAAATATAAAGAATTTAAAATTTCGCACATTGGAGGCTCTGTATCTCGGGAACCAAGTGTGTTAGCGAGCTAAATAAACGAATTTCTTATTTTTATCGATTTAAATAATTCCGGTATTTTAAATAATTTTAAAAGAGATCGGTCGAAAATATGCAAAAATTCTATTTTAATTTTGTTAAAAAAATAAATAATAATTTAGACCGCAAAACATAATAAAATAATATATAATATTTGCATGTTTTATTTAATAGGATGAAAAATATATTTTCTACCCTTAAGATTTATCAGAAACCTTTTTTTAAAAAAATATTAATAGGAAAATTACCAAGGAATAAAAATAAAGATTTTATAATTCCTATTTTTTCATACAATCTTTAGCAAAATAATAAAGAATTGTTGCTTATACCTTTCATTTATGACAAATTATTATCAATTTTCAGAATTTTACAGGCAAAACTATTTGGAATTTAGTATGATTATGAAGTTAATAAACAAATAATTAAAATTATATAAAATGATATGTGACATAACAAAAAACTAAATTATAACTGAAATTTAAAATAAAATGAGGCTAATATAAAAAGCGCTTCATTTATAATAATCCTCATGGTTTTAAAAAGATTTCGAAAAAAATCTGGTGATATTCTTGAGTACGAATCCTCATATTTATTATATGAAATTTAAAGGAATTATATTAAAATAAAGAGATAATTGCGTTGAAAATTTTTTACCGTAAACTTATTTGCATTTTGAGCAGGCTTACAACAGGCGCGTAGCCAGCGGGAGGGGGCAGGGGGACAAATCCTTACGCAAAGCCAAAAAACATAAAATATTTTTCAAAAATATTACCATTTTATGATTAAGAATTTATATTTTATAACAATCCCTTACCTCTAATTGAATACATATTTCAATTTACAATCAGAGTTGTTAAAGTATCTAGATATAAAAATGTGGTATCGGTATCTAAATACACTCTTTATATATATCTAGATAATATTTTAGAAGTATCTGTTTTTAGATACTTTTCAAGATAGATTTTGATTTACTTTTATCTAACGCTTTTTTTTATATTAAAAATAAAAATATTTGGATGCAATATTCATTTTTCATATGGGGATATAATTTAAATAAATATAATATTAAAAAATATTAAGACTAATATAATAAAAAAAAATATATTTAAAATTTATTTATAAATTATTAAAATTTATATATAAAATATAAAATATTAAACCTATATATAAAAAAAATATATATATTTATTATATATTATTTCACCCATTTAAATCTATAAATATCAGTTCAAGAGTGCGAAGGATATTTTTATCATGTAAAGGAATATTAAATCCTTGCTTAACCAATGCGCCCATTAATTATAAAAACATTACCATTGATGCACAAATTTATTTATAGCAAATAAATTTATTTAGAATTTTTTATATTTCTCTGACTTTTAATAAATTAATTATAAGTTTAATGTAAATTTTTTTAAATATAAATGCTCGTTTTTGTTCGAAAGAACGATAAAAATAGTGGTTGTAGTATCTTTAACTCAAGTTTGAATTTTTAGGGTAGCATAATAACCTGAATAAGTCATTTCTTTCGACAACCAATATTTTTTACATTAGAATGTATTAACAAATTGTTTAATTATTTTGTGTAATATATTTAAAACATCGATTTAATTGAGACCATGAGAATAGCTAAAAGCATTGTATTGGAACTTAATGAAATCAGAGCAAAACATATATGACGAATTATAAACAATATGTTATTGATGGTTCAAAAACATAATTCTATGAATTTAATATTTGTCTACCTAGACTCGGAGAAAGGCAAGTCCATTGTTTTAATATTAATGTAAGATCAATAGAAGAATACCTTGAAATAAATCTCCTTATCCTTCTTTTTCATATTTTTATCTCCTATGAATGAAGGCTCCTGATTTATCAGGCAGCATTTACAAATTTGCAAATACTATTACCGCAGAATCATTGCGATATTTTGGCATTATACTCATTAATACTTTTACCAATGAAAGAATATTTAACATACCTGAGAAGTTTTATATCTGAAATTGATTGATTGAATGGAATGGGCATCCTTTTTTAATGCACATAGAGATTAATTGACACCAAGCACTGATGAAATCATTGAAAAATTAACTCAATCCTTAAAGAAGATTGAATTTCGCATTATAAATTTATAACATGCTTCTTAATTATATTTTTTCTGAAATTGATACTGGTTTGTATTGAGTTTTAACCAATAATTCATATTGTATTGGTTTTAAAAATCATGAAAATATTTAATATAATGATATTTGCACCGAAAAATATAGAATATATTTGTTTTTCATAAAATTTGAGCTTAACAAATATTTAACTAACAATTAATTATTTTCAAAATTTGTTTCTAAGATTTGCTACTCCATAAGTTTTTCTAAATTAAACAAACTTTCTAAAATATATTATTTAGCATATTTTAATATGTAACCAGTTATTTTTGTCAATACATTCCAAAATACAGTTACTAGTTACAGTTATATTTTCGCAAAAATATAATTAGCTACTTAAACAACACTGATCATTTCATAATAATGATAAATGAAAATGAATCAAGATTCAATATATTTGTAATATTTTTTAAAAAAGAATCATTTTAAAAGAAATTTATTTGTAATAATAAAAATATAATTATTTTAAGAAAGCTTTGCTAAAAATATGATATTTTTTTTTTGCGATATTATTTGCAACTAGAAAAGGATTTAAAATATTTAACGATTCACATTCCGCCATAACCATTGCCAATATTTTATTTTGGGGAATAAAAATAAAATAAATTGCATTTAATCATTCGTGATAATGCACCAAATATTGCCTTGGTCATGAGATATGGAAGTTAAAGTATTCTTGCTTTCCCTTATTTTTTTACATAGATATTAATTTTTTATGACATTGGTTCAAAGATTGGTAAATAAAAATATTGGACCGGTATTGTTTTTATATGAATATCGGGAAAAAATTTATGGATCGGCCACACCCAGAAATATAATATATACTGGTAAAATCGGTTTAACGTTAGGCTCAATCTCAGAAAATTATCTTGACCATTTCTGCTAATTTATATAATTAGTTTCCGAGGCAAAATATTTGCTGTCTTCATTCTTCGAACTTAAGTGTTTTTAAAGTTGCCGTAACATCATTATTTCTATGTATCTTATTTTAGGCACTTGGAAACTTTTATTTCGTTCACAAATCGATTCAAGAAGTAGAAATATGGAATTTCAAGAGTAATTTTTTTTATATAACTTTTATAAATGTTCATATACAATATTTTAATTTTATAAATGTAAAAAACAGAATCACATTTCGAAATTTTTCGCAGAAAACAAGTATAAAAATTTATTAACCGCGATATTTTAAATATAAATGAATCAATGATTTCAGATTAATATCGGCAATATAGAGAACGTGGAATTTATTATGAAAGAAAAATTTCCTCCTGAGTTTTATCCAGGCGTAAGTCTTTTAATTATAAACAGATTGAAATTGATAAAAAAAATAATAAGGGTTGAGAGTTTGTAAAAATAATAAAAGATTAATAAATTGGGTAGCAGTGAAAATCGTTAGCAAGAGAAAAGATTTTTTAAAGTATAATTAATGCAGTTTTGCTAGGGTGCTTCCAAAATTTGAGAAGTATACAAGAGATGCACCGATGACAAAACCGATACCACCAATACTAATACATATTTGCTGATACCATAAAATAAGAACGAATATTTAATATTTATTGAATATAAGCAAATAAATAATTAACCATTATTATCATTTGTAATTAATTTATGAGATTTATTCATGTAAATTGAATTAAAAGTTTTAAAACAATAAAAAATTATTGTCATTTTTTAATATCGGTTATAATTGAAATGCCAAGTATCGGTTTCGGTGCATCTATTATACATACTATAAACAAAAAAATTAAAACATACAAATTAAATATATTTTTATCTAACAAACCAATAGCTATAATCTTAAAAAACAAAATATTTATCTTTAAATAAATATATTTTGCATAATTTTTTTTATAAAATAACGAAAGCTACTTTTAGAAACTAGAAACCACCATCATTAATGATCGGCCACCTTAATTTTTAACCATTAACTATCGTAATATTTAAAAAAAATCGGTATCAAACAAAAAAGAAAATAATTTTTTTGCCAACGACAGGATTTGAACCCTTGCCACCTCTCCTTGGAGGAAAAGGCTTCCCTTATGAACCCTCACCCATATTATAAAATAACAGCAATATATTTATTATATATGAAACAAATGTAATACTTTTTTATTGTTTACTTCCAATATTATTCAATTATATTACCCAATAATATATCCGCTTACGTTATCTCATGCTATTTATTTTAACTGGGTTAATTTTCTTTCAATTTTATTGGATCCTTTTTTAAAAAAAATGATTTTGCTTAATCACATCTCATTAATATATTTAATCATATTTATTAAAAAATCTTTAGCTACTATATATAATGAATAATAAATGAAGCTTTATTTGGTTTTTATTCTTTTTGATGGTGGGTTAACCAGATCCAGACCCTTGTGATTGAGGGAGCGGACGGGGCAGCCTCCTTGAGCCTCCAGATTTTGTTTTTCATGCATTTCAAGGTAAGTTATCTATTAATTATTTTAGAAATTAATATTATGCTTCAGTCATTTATTACAAATTATTTATATCTAACTTTTATACATTGTATAAATAGTGTTGTAAATAAATACTTATTCAAAACAAATTTATGAATAAAATTCATTCTTTGATAAACATGATGAAAATCAATCCTTTTTAGTTTAGACGAATTTTGAACTTGGACTTATTCATTTTTTTTGACGTTCCTCTCCGCTCCTCTCCTCTCCGCTCCTCTCCCCTTAAATTTAAAAAGGTTAAGCAAAACTTTTATTAAAAAATTTAAATAATCTGTCAGCCTGCTGTTTACTACAGATATTTTCCAGCACAGTTTCATTTTTGATTAATCTCTACTTCTGCTTTTATATATATACATCCCTTACATTAATAAAGTTTCCACAAAACGAAGTAATAAAATGACTTATATCATATTTAAATAAATCGGTAGAAAAGCCTAGAGTTAGATACTTCAGGACTAGTATTAAACTCTAATTGCCTAGCATAAGTTTTCCACTAAAAATAAGCTAAAGTTGTGGCATTTCATTTGCCATAATATTAAATGCATTTTTAAAAAAACATAGAATTATAGATATGAATGAAGGCGCGTTTACGAATATGAACGTGTTCCTTTTAAAAAAAAATAAACTTTGAATGCGAATCTATTAATTTTTGTGATTGCTCATTGAATGCCTATCTATCAACAAGTACTAACATATATCTGATTTTAGTATCCAATTTCATTCTGAATGAATTTCTATTGAATTGTAACCTATCATCCAATGTGATTTTATTTAACCTTTCAATATGCTTGATTTTAGACCTCCAGCCTTATTAATTATCTTTATTTTACCATTATTATACCTTTCTATGATTCCTCTGAAGATGATCATTTAATATTAAAATTTCTTTCTGCCAGAAATTTCTTTCATATCATGTTGAACTTAATAAGGGGTCGCATTTCATAAATATTGAATTCCAGGAGACCTTCAGAATTGTAATTTATATTAAAAATTTAAGAATATGACTGAAATAAAATGATAGACGATAATATAATTTACTTAAACATAAAAAAATTGAATATGGTCTAGCATTTTTGATGTAAGCTGTGTGGTGGCCTAACATTTTTGAAGTCCGTTACATTTTTTAAATTTCGATTTGGATTTTAGGAAAAATGGTCAAGGAAAGGATTCTGCATGACTCGATGGCGATTTTCGAAAACCAACGCGTTTAATTTCATCAACATTCATATGTTTCATGATGCTTCAAATATAATCGCCATCAAAACGGTACAAATATAATATTTATTTTTAAGAATTATGAGAGAAAGAGGGAAAGAGATTATTATATATTTCTACATTACGCACATTTTATGTATTATTAATTCAAAATATAAAAAGCCGAACTGCATTGTTGATTTTAACATCTTAATAAAATATTATTCAATTCTTCTCTCAAATAAGCAATTTTTAATTTGCTAGGCTATTTTTTCTGCGGGCTTAGAAACCCTACACTTATTTGAAACTCCTAAAATATTTTGTATTTAAGCAAAACTTTTTTGAGCATTAAATATAAAAAAAATTTTAACATGCCGAAATAGTAAGGGTAGCGACACAACGCCATCCTTTTAAAATTTTAATATAAAAATATCGATAACATTTGACATTTTGAAAAATATAGTTTAAACGTAGACTTGGTTAAATGATTATTTATTTTTAGATATTGAAATCCCAATCTCAAGATTTTTCTGTTTTTAAAGCTTGGTTTCCCAACCTCTAGATTTTCTTAATTTTGAGGCATACTGAATCGTTTTATTAATTGACAACCAGGTCCGATCCTGGCTTTTTTTATTAGCGCCATGATTTTCGCTCCCTCCACTTATACATAAAATAAATTATATGAAATTCATAAGGTATTTTAATTTTATTGTTTTCACTGTATAAAAATTGATTATAACACAATTTAATGAATAAATAACATGTTATAATAATTTCTTCTGGATATAATTATTGATTAGAGCTTGAAGTTTATATGCATATAAAAGAGAAAATATAGATCCGGAAAAAGATATATTAAAATGGTGAAGTTAATATTACCAAAGATGACAAAATTGGTTAGAAAGATTTTAACAATTTCTGAAACTTCCACAACTTCAGAGCGAACTTTTACAAAGACTGCAAGGCTATTAGAAGAAATAGATAGAAACCAGAAATTGAAACTTTAATTTTTAAATGATAATTATAAATATGAAGCTAATTTATAGTTGTGTAATTTAATATTATAATTATTATTTGCTTGGTTTATTGTTATTTCTGATAGTAGTTTTTTAAATAGATAATTAAATACTAAATAAATTGTCTATTGAGATATTTGTAATGCAAAATGTTATATATAAAAAATAAACTAATAGCTAATAAAAAATCGGGTTCGGACTGGGAAAATTTTTTTAAAAAATTCGGGCCCGGCTTGAAAAAATTGGCCCGATGCAGATCACTAGCTTTAAGATTAGTTATATTTATATTTTGGCCAGGCTATACTTAATAATTTGAATTTTTTGCCCATTTTTTATTGCCTCTATATTATTTTGCATAGCATAATTTAAAATTAGATTTAGAGAGTGAAAATGATTTATTATTTTTTAAAAACAAATCCAAAGATTGAATAAATTAGAATGATAATTTTTTTAAACAAAATTACATAAAAAAGTCCAGTTTACCGCCCGTTAAAGTTTTAAAGAATGAAAATCGTGACCGCCATGGGGCTCAGACCTTACCGGAGCCCCTGTTGAGTTGGCCTGTTGACAATGATTATATAGTGTATAATTCATTTTTAAATAATGCACAATATATATTTAAATATATTATATTGAATTTAGTCTCCGTCCTTTTATACCACATGCCGTTATAATGCTCTGGAGTTTACTCTCAATAGGTCAGTATATTCAATTTATATATTTTATTTAAAATAAATTAGTTTACCACACTAGGGTTACTAGTAAGAGGTATTATGCCACATGATTGATTTCCTATTTTACTCATTTTATATAAATATAGTTGAGCAGAATTAATGATATCATTTTGAAACGCTGACCACCCCTACTAGATGGCGGAAAATTACTCTTTAAAATAAATTTTATACATCTACATTTTCCTTTAAGAATCGAGAATTCAAATTCCAAAATGAATATTTCTGAATTTAACTGCCACAAAATGGAATCGACTAATATTCCTTACTTTATCTTTGGCGATTTCAATTTCAGATTGGATACTCAGAGTCTGATAAAAGTTTTTTAATTTACAATTTATTTTCATCTTTTATATTATAATAAGTTAATACTTAAATAATAAAGCAACATTAAATTTTAGAATACATATTAGCATTATTCAACTTAAAGGTTTATATATAGAATTTAAAATAATTGAAATCCATCCCAAATTATAATCTTATTGAAGGCTACATGACTATATAATACGACTAGTAAAATAAACCAATGTCTGAAGATTTGATGAATATTAAAATAAAATGCGAAATATTATGATAGTTGAAATTAATACTCATGCCCAAAGACTATAGAAAGGCTAATTGTTTAGATATAGCGTTACTTGCTAAAATCCAATAGATATAGCATTCCATTATTAAAATCCTCATCTAACAATTTGTCAACTCCATGCAAATTTTTCCTGACATAACCGAAACTTATAAATAAGCATAGTAAACCAATATTTAGGAATTATATGTAGATATAGCGTGATAATATGATAGCTACTAATTTGAAAGATTGAATAATATATTAATTAGTTGTTAAATGGCTGCATTAAAAAAGATGGCCAACAGGTTTAATCATACACATAATAGACTATTGGCACTTCTTAATGCGAATTGTTTAGATGTGATTTTCAGTTGATATGATAAAAATACTAATGGGTAATTAGAAAATTACTATAACCTATATTCATCCTATTGGATTTATTGCCACACATATAATGTTAAATAAAAGTTTTTGTTCTCAGTGCAGAAACTTTAATTCTTGGTAATGGTCTTTGTGTAAATGGACAAAGATACGCCCTTTCTGACTGCCTCTATTCTAACGATTCCGCACAGCTCTCTCTTGACGAGTCTTTCACCTTTGACTTGATCCACATTCATTGAACTTACCAAGGATCGAAAATATGAATTTTTAGAAATTATTCCATCTAAAATCTCAAATTTGAATTGGATAACTACGAACTCAGCTATACCCTATATAACAGGCTTAACATTCCTTCCTCATTACGATATAGATGCAGCAAATGTCACACTGATAATGATGGTATGGCGCTGCATTCTTTACATTGTAATCATAATCCCGGTCGGCAAACCAGCACATGCAGTGCAATTAAGTCATATCTCTTGCACTGAGATCAGCTAATTTCCCTCCCTTATTGGAGCCTTATAATCTCTTTCCCAATGGTAGACATCCTGGTGGAATCATGCGAATTTTATGGTCACAAGGAAAGTTTCTAATATGGGATGTTTCTTGCCTGGACACAACCCTTCCAATTTTAACAAACTCTCTAATCAGAAAGCAAATTTGAATCGACAGCGCTGATTCTTAAAATTACATTTTTGTACCGATCATTTGCTCAACTTAACAACATATGGGGATTTGGCTAATATTTTAAAGATATCGACCGTCAGATCAAGAAAAATTCTGGCGTTAAGGCTTTTACCTAAGACTAAGGATCGCTCTATTCTTAAGGCAAATTATGCCTGGATAATTAATTCATTTTCACTGATGTAGTATTCTCCCTCAAAAAAACAAATCCTCCTTTTTCTTTCTTTCCATATTTTTTTTAAAATTTTTTCTCATAGTCATAACATAATAAATTAGAATAACACAATATTATTTATTTATTTTTATAGAAATATGGATTTGAATCTTGTAAATTACTAATAATAATGGGATTAAATTATATATTTTTTTTAATAAAATTGAATATATCATATAATATTACAATTATAAAAAGATCATAAAATTAGGAGTTTCTAAAAATTAATTTTCCTATAATGCAATTGAACTAGGATATTTATCTATTATTAATATGCTATCAGGGATCCAAACCGAAACGTATATCGGTTCGGTTCAGGTTCGGATAAAAATAACAGTTCAAGTTCGGTTCGCAATAAATAAAAATATCGGTTCGGTTCGAACCGCTAAATTTTGTATTCAAACTTACATTCGAATTATGTATAGGGAAATTTTTATTTCATAATTCAAATAAAAAACACATACATAAAACATTTTTTATTAATTGCACATTATAAAATAATATTTTTATAAATATAACAAATAAATATCAATGATTAATTTTAATATGAACAATTACTTAAATTTTTTTTATTAATCCGCACAATTTACATATTTTCAAAATTCGTCTCACTCAAATTACATCTATAAGGAGATGATATAAATTTAATTCTTGAAAAATATCTTTCCACACTAACTTGGGTAGCTGGCTCTGCCAGTATGATATCAGATTTGATATGTCATTTATAATACTATATGTAAATAATTTATATATTGGAATTAATTTTTCTCTAGGCATTATAATTTATAAGCTTAATTTAAAAAATGATGTATGGCAATATACTAAAGTTTATAAAATTATGACTTACACTTATCAATCAAATGTGATTGACAATAATCTTTAAAGCAATTCGAATATAATTAAAATTTTTGCAATATTCTAGTAATAACTTACACATTATTTTATAAGCATGAGACTCGAACCAGTTCAGAGGCATTTTAGCGGTTCGGTTTAGGCTCGGCTAGAAATTTTTTATCGGTTTAGATTTGATAAAAAATACCGGTTTTTAGCGGTTTAATGGTTCAGGTTCGGATCCCTGTATGCTATGTTATGTTTGTTTACATTCTTCTATAAAATATCTTTCTATAAATTATGAGATAAAATTTGTTAATTAAATAAATGTAATTTTTTGACAAAAAAAATAGCCGAATATATTTAATTATAAGGCATAATATATAAACCTTTTAGAAATACGGCGGCCAAATTTACATCAGACCTTAGGGTTAACAAACATAATTTTTCTATTATATTTATTTAACATGCATTCATTTTATTAATAAACATCCTTTTTTTGTGAAATTTATGAATAAACTATTGTTGAATTATAAATATTAAATTTACTAAAAAGTATTTTATCATTATGTCAATATTTAATATTTGCCCATTTATAATATTCAATTCTGAGCATATAATTTATAATAATATTTATCATTTTCAGTTATTTTAATTAAATTATATTTTATGTAGAATTAATAGTAATAAACTGCATCTGAATTCTTAATATCAGCTAAATATTCAGCAAATGTTTTTAAAGAAAAGGGCTGCGGAGTAATCATATACAAAAAAGTGATCTGTCATTTCATCAATATATAAACAGGGCGGAAATAATTATAAAGATTTTCTTAAATATCTCCTTATATTTTATCAATATTAAAAATGATTTATAGGAGATAATAAAAAAATTAATTTAAGATTAACAAAATATAAAGTCATTTATAATGATAAAATTTAGCAATTAATTATAACTTATTAGCAATATCTATAAATTTTGATAGAGTACTTTCCGTAAAATGGTTTATTATTAAATGTTTATATTTTAAAACCAAAGCTAATAATTATTTAAAATACAAGCCAAAATAGAATTGATTTAATCATCCCAATCCTAAGCCTATACCACTTGTTACATAACTTAGATATTTTTTCCCCCATTATCAAAAGAAATTAATAGGCGATGATCAACGTCTACCAAAGTACAACGTATCTATTTTCGTGTCCAAAACCGTTCAAAACAATATCGAGACTCAATTAGGATTAAGCGATTTCAAATCGATGGTTCACCAAAACTCTCAAAATAAAATCTTAGAAAGTGTTACAAATATAAACATTTCGAATAATGAAAGATTTTATGATATCAATAGTGGTATAAGTGTAGACGAAAATAATGCATTCAATGCCTCTCATATAGGAAACGCTCGATCCTTAACTAAAGTAAAAAAATTTCCAAATATCTACATTTTAAATAAATATAATATTGAATTGAGGTGTTTTACAGCATTAGTTCAATTTTATGAAACATTGACGTTAAAATTAATCCTCCTCCGTATAAAATGATTTTACTTATAAGAATCATAAAACTATCCCCGCAAAACTCCATTGAAAAATTCTTTGATGTTTTAAAAAATCAATATCGGTCTATATATCCTAAGCCAGTTCACAGATTCAGTTAATCGAACAGATAATTACTTTAATTTATTATATAATAGATATATTTTTTGTTTATATTATAATCGAAATCGTGAATGCAATTAGAAAAATAAATGTATTTTCATCTTTAATATAGATAATAGACATTTAAATAAAGATTTCACAGAGTCATTTATTTTCGAACCTTTCATATATAAAAAAAAACTTAAATTTCAGAAAATAAAGAATAAAAAAATTATCATAATCTGAATAACAATTGTACAGGCATTAGTATATACCTTTAAATCTTAAGTTCTACTCAAATAAATTATTAATTATTTAATTCATTAGAAAAGTCTATTAATTTATCGATAAAAATTTATTTTATAAAAAAAACAAATTGTAAAGAAAAAAATATGATGTTGTTTTAAATTCTTTTATAAGTTAAATTTTAAAATAAATTGTAAATGTGTTTTTTTAATAATTCTTGCAAGTAAAATAACTTTATATGGCGGTGATTAATTTAAACGTCAATCGGCTTCATAAAATCATCACAATAACTGAGAACGAAAATCTTTTATAAAATTAATGACTAAAAAGGAAAGAAAATAGAAACAATTATAAATTTTTTTATTACTAAAAGAATTAAATATAAAATCATGAATAGAATACGAATTCATCTTTTGTAAAATTGATAATGATATGGAAATATGGCAATGACAAAACTATAGAGTATGAAATTAGAATTTTTTTCTCCATAGAGCAAATGAATATTTTAAAATATCAACTACGTAAAAATGTTTTTATAATAGATGACAATTAAGAAAAAAATATAAATGACAAAAATAATTGATTTTATTTTAATTATAACTTATTTTTTCTCTTTTTTATAGTTTAAAAAAGATTACCAAACTTAGTTATTTAGAATTCCCATTAAATTTGCTGTACTTTTATTCCTAAATCAAATTAGATCGACATAAATTTTATTTTCATAACTATTATTTTTCAACATAAAATTTCATTCTTAATTTATAAATCTATATTAAGGGTATAAATTATATCAATTATTAAAGATGTTTAAATTTTAGTAAATAGTATACAAATCAAAATCAGCGCCTTCTCGTTAGTCAGAATGATTAACATTAATTTACCCATTTCAGATTTATCATCTTTTTCTATGTTTGTCCTTCTTTTGTTAGTGCTTTGCTTAAATTATTTTTCAAAATTACATTTTGAGTAAATAATACTCTGTTACCCAAAATCTGGGAATATAAAAATTAATATCTCATAAAAATAGGATCTCTGGCAATAATTTCAGAAATATTGATGATTAGTGGTGAAACTATTTGCATCATAATATTCAGAAATACTTAATTTGATAGTACTCAGTGAAAAGTGGTGGAAAACAACTCAATGAGATATGATATATTTAAAGATTTTTTTGATAGAAAATAGGCATTCATGTATCAATGATGTTATATTTGATTGGAATTCATTGCTCATTCTATTAGTACTAGGAATAGAAAGTTTAATTCTATAGGTTTTTCATTTAGACTTGCCAACTAAATCAGACTGTTATAAAAGGACCCTTAAATCTCCAAAAAGTGTTATGTTATGGGCTTGGACATTAAAACTAACCAATTTTTTTGCATCAGACAACGGTTTGGTTTTACTAAAATGACCTGCTACAAGTCCTGATTTAAATTCGATAAAATTGCCTAAGCTTTTATAAAAAATACATAGGCAATCATCAATTTAAAATAAATGCGATTGGATACATCTATAATAAATATCTGCATTGGGCTAAAAATTTTTACCCGCCCGCTCATTAGTCTAAAATTTTTTACTCGCCCGCCCATTATTAAAAATTTTTTAACCCAAACCCGCCATTATAAAATTTAATTATGGCCATTCTTTCAATTTTTTTAAGCATCTAATAAAAGAAATAATTCAGTTTCAGCATTACACCTCTACAAAAAAAGTTTTTTAATTAAATTACTATATTAAGCATAAAAAAATATTCCATTTAAATTATGGATAATTAATTTAAAATATTTATGGAAAAAATATAAATATAAAATTTATATTATATGTAATTATAATACAAAAATAATAATGAATTCACATTTTCTGGATTCAAACTCATTCTTCTTTGTTATATAAACCTTCCAGCAATGCTAAATCCTCGTTCAGAAGAAGCACTAGTTATAGGAATTGCCAATATTTTTCTTGATAATCTTGATAGGTTTTTTAAATATTTTTCTTGTCGTTTCCACCCAAGTAGGATATCCATTTTGAAGTATATCCTCTTCCTCAAATGCGATCCTTAAATAAAAGTGAAACCAATAATTGCTAAATTATACATATCAAAACTGGTTACTTTAAGATTTAAATATTTTCTTATGTCATTAGGTACGGTGCTCTCTGTAACAACCTCATCCTCCCATCTGTTGTGGTTTAATTTTGACGCGGATGCTATTTATTTCAAACATTACATTTAATAAGTAGCTAAGCGAATTATATAATTTAACAATACTATTTAAATGGATTCTCTTTGCTTTGGGGAAATGTGTTAAATCAGATTTTCATCCACGTATATGTTATATCAGATCCAACATGTTTTCGATATGTATTTTTACTTTTGGCAAAACCATCCTCAGTTATTGAACTTTGGTATTAAAAAGTTGAAATTTTATGTAGCATAATTAAATAGCTATTTTTTTTCGCAGTTTGTTTTTCTCTACATTATATACGTATTATTTGATTTTATTCATATTATAGAATAAGATTATACCTAAACCTGTGCGCCGCATTATCGGTGGCGGTGTTTTTTTTAAACGATCGGCTGTCGGCGGCTAATCGATTTAGACGCCAAAATCGGCGGCGGCGTTAAATAACTTAAATTTTTTAATTAAAATAAATTCAGGAAACACTTTTAAAATAAAATTTATGCTTTATGTTTAACTATAATTTAACGATTTTATTAAGTTATATTTATCATGTATAAATATTATTTTATTTAGATTTATAGGACATAATGATGATCCTTTAGAGTTCAGAGTGAGCCCTGCTATGGAAAATACACGCTCGCTGGGTGTGCTCGTAGTTGGATCGCACAGGACCTTTTTAGATAATATTGAAAGTTTAGGCAGATCCAATGTTCTTATCTTCCAAAAATTTAAGATATCTTTTATCTCAAAATTATAAGGCGAAAATAATGAATAACACTCTTTTTCTAGACTATTTATATAGTCTTGTTGTTCCAGATTATTTTTATGAATAGATGAATGTTTGTTAGCCAATGACTTAAGATAATCGAATTCTGAAGCAACTTTCGTCTTGTTTAGATATTTCTTCTTGACATGATAAGTGATGTTTGTCAAGTAAATGTTATTATGTTTGATGAGCTGATATTTTTTGAAAAAGATTTGATTGGATAACTAATTAAAAAATTCACAAATATTAATTATTTTATCCTCACCATCTTTTTCAAGTGCTATTTGCAAGCATATATTACAAAAGACTATCTGTAGCAACATCTTTTATTATTTATGTCAGTTTTTAATATTAATGATCCAAAAATGTTTCCATGCAAAAGGTTTTGCTTGCAAAAATATACTGTATTTTGTTACAGGGTATTGCAATGCTGCATTCATTATAATTGTTTTAGTCCTGCTATGTTCATATATGTTATAATGGCAATAAAATAAAAATCATTAATTAAAATTTCCTTTTATGATAAGAAATAAATTTTATATGATAAGTTATAGATTGCATTAAGAAAATATTGTATTACTCCATATTTAATAATTGAGGGTCTATACAAAAGGTTTGAAACATCAAAAATTAAAAGAATAAAATATATAATATTTCAATATCTTTTATGTAAATTACTAGCTTAATCATCTTATTACAAATCAAATTTATAGGAAATAATATTTATTAATTTTAAAAAATAAAATCGCATTTTTTAATAATTTAAAAAATATCTAATATTATTTTTCTTCTAATTACTAATCATAAATATATAAATTAAATATTATTTTTAATTATAAAAAATGTGTATCACGCCGCCGAATTTTTACATCCCCGGCGGCATCGGTGTGGTCAAACGGCGGCGTATTTGACCGGTGGCACACAGGTCTAATTATACCTAATTTTTTTATAAAAAAAGAAAATAGGTGCATAATTCCAAAAATATTAATTTTCATACCATATAAAAACGTTTAGTAGTGTAGGCCTGCAGTGTAAGAGCATTAGTTGTATCTTTATATAGCTCCAAATTATCTTTTCCATAAATCCCATTTTTTCAATCATATCAAGAGATTGTAAAAACAAAAAAAATCTCATCATACATTATATAAATGCTTTGTAGCATCTTATGCTTTGTATTTCATCTTATATCAATATTTTATTGTAACGTCTTGCTCAGATTATTTACATTGCCACTTTGTTTGAAATTATTGGTCAACGATTTTGCAGTTTGCGAACTATTTTGTTCAATATATGTGCTTAACAGTTTAGTCAATTAAATCTAATATTTGAAAAAATAAAAGGAAAATATAGTTCTTTAAATATGAATCCTTAAAAAATTATTATAATTTTACCTGATAAATTTTATAAAAAGTTTAGCCTTCCGTCGCTTTTTTGATATTTTATTTTGGTCCGTTACAAATATGAGCTTGGAAAAATATTCTCGGGGAACACCTAATTTTAAATTTTTTTTAATAATTCTTAAAAAATATTCTCCCCCTACTTTTTTTCCTCTTTGAAATTGCGAAATAAAAAGAAATATTTTTTCTAGTTTACAATTTGTATAAAATAGATTGATAGAGATATGTAATCGGTTTTAGTAAAATCCTCACACCACATATCAGTAGTACATCAAATAGAATTTTTTATCATTTCTCCAATTTTGGGAAATAATATTTCCTTAAGATCCTCAGTAACTTTGGATACGTGCCTGCTAACTGCTGTGGGGCATGGAATAATTTTTTCGACATCCAATTTTCCATATAGTTGACAATCTTTATAAAAGATTTACAAATACAGGTCCTTGAAATGGCCTAAAGAAGATTAAAGAATAATTTAATAAAAATTAAAATACCTAATGTCTCTAGCACAATATTTTACAAAATTGGCAATTGGACCCGATTTTATCGTTTTGTTCAATTGAATTTTATTTTTGTAATATCCGGTTATTTTTTTATTATCTATCAAATCTATAATTTACAGATGAACATTGATGCCGAAGGAAGAAGGATGTGCCACTTTTGTTATTATATTTATAGATGGATTTGCAATCATTGCAGCGAATCCAATTTAGTCTTGTCATTTTCATCGAAAATGATTTTAATATGTTTCCACATTGAAGATTTGAGTTTAATTTGAATCATTTTCTTTTAATTTATTAAAATTATTTATTATTTTTTTAGATAGATATTTTTTATTCGAATTATATTTAAAAATAAAAATTAAATTATATTGAAATTTTTTTTTTAAAAAAATTATGTTATAAAGAATAAAATTTATATATTATATTATATTAGAAAATAAAATGAAAAAGGCAAATATAAAAATGAACAATCATCACTAAAATAAAACAATACATTGTAGAAATATTCATTATACCCAAAAAAGAAATTATATTTTTCAATATCCAAAAAAGTTAATTTATTTAGTTTTATTACAGTACGATTAAGGGAAATTTTAATTTTTAATATACAAAGAAGTTTATTTAATTTAAGAAAAAGGTTCTTAAGATACCAAAAAAAGACATTTTAATTTTCAATATCCAAAAAAGTTTATAAGATCAATTTTTTATTAATATTTACTTAAGGGATTTTAAATAACAAAAATTTATATTTTTTAACCAGCTTGACCATTGTTTAATTTTTAACCCGCCCATCTACCCGCCCATAGTTTAAAATTTTTTAGCCCGTCCGCCTGTCTGTATGCCTGTTCTACAATGAGCGGGCGGGCGGCCGAAAACCCGTCCAATACAGACCTTCTCTAAGTGTTTTAGCAATCTGTCTGTGCCTTAATCATTAGAGCAATATAGAACACGAACATTTTTTTGATTAGGAGAGACCTAGGTCATATGGCAGGGACATTTTTGAGATATTTATTTTTAATCACAGGGATTTTTTATTTATCGATTAATATATAATTTTTTAATTTACGTATCTTAAGGTAGTAAGTAAACCCTATATTAAAATCTTTAAAATAAATATTTTATTTATTTTTTAAATTTAGCCCACATTAATTTTGGACAAAAAATTGTTTAATTTATTCGAAAATCACGACAAAATTTTCAAATCGAGAGACACTAACTCATGGGTAAATTTAATAAATAATGTAACATCCAAGATGTTTCCAACATAAAAGGATTAATAATATTCAAAAGGAATATAATTAAATGAATATTAATTTTTCTCTTTATGTTAGTCTCAATAGCGAAGTTCTATGCAGTGACTTATAAAATTCATGATAAGCGACCATTGGGTAATCATCTTTTGAAGGTGATATTATGAACATGTAGGTTGAGTTTTTCTGCTCTATTAAAATTACATGTAAGAATTTACATATATTCCTTATATATGTTTTTTCTTTTTTTGGATGAATTGCCTAGAATTATATTTATAATTGTATATATTTATTCAAATAGGTTCTGGCTTTGGATAAAGAATTATCACCATTCTTACATTTATTACACGAGTATCCTATCAATTTCTTTCCCAGGTTAATATTTCTTAAACAAACACCTTTAAAAAGTATATATATGTTACAGTAATACCGTATTTACTGATCAATCTTCTTTCTTATTCTTTTTTTCCCCCAATCCTCCCCTCCCTTCCCTGATAAATCATGGCTACGCCATATATAAATGATATCGTAAGAATATATTATTCTAAATATCATGTTTTTTAATGTTTTAGATAATTTAAAAAAAATAAACTATTTGAAAAAGTTCGAGATAGTTCCTCTTGAAGAATATATAATAGAATTCTCGAAGGAATTTTCCTCAAAACTTCTGTTGCTGTTGGTTGGTTTATTCATATTTATAATCACTTTTATAGCTGGATCACACAATTCCTTTATAGATGATCTTGGCTTATTGTGCAGAAGGAATACATTAATTTTTCCATAAATAATTTATTGTTATAAGCAAGATTGGGGTAATTTGACAATAGTTTGAAATAGATACTATAAGAACTTTTGGCAAGCATTAAGAAACTTTAATGAGTCAGGTTTTGAAAAACCTTGTAACCTATAAAATTAGGTTGCTAAAAATAATAATCAACATATATATATATAAATATGAATAAATAATTTTACTAGCACTTTATTACATGCTCCAACATAATTATAAAATAATAAGACATAAAAATTAAAAGGTTAAAGCTAAAATAAAAATTTAAAAAGAATTCTTTCCAAAATTGAAAAGTGAATTATATCCACAAAATCAAATATACTTTCCTTTAATCCTCATTTACATAGTCTATAATATGAAATTAAGTAATATCGTAATAATTCTTCTAATTTTATATAAACATTTTTTGTTTAAAATTATTCATCTGAATATTACAACATTTATAATACTTTTCCTTGATAAATACAGATAGGTAAATATAGATAACAACTTACTTTCTTATGGATTTGTCCGCCAAACTAAACCATTACTTTAAATAATTATAAATAGTATTCAACCTTTTCTAAAGGCTTTATATTGAAATCGGACAAATCATTTATAGTCATTATAAATGTTAGTTTCCTGGTTGGAGTATATTGAAATAGCTAGCAAGTCTTCATTTAAAGTTAATAGACTAGATGAAGCAGTTCTCAGAAAAACTGGGTCCCAACGACAAAACGTAAATTCAAGGTAGATAAAGGATACGATTATATCATTGTGGAGAGATACCTCTCCATTAAAAATTCCAAAAGTTTCAAATAAAAATTGATACTACTCCACCTCATAACTCCTCTATCTCACCAAAAATGGGTTTTGGGGGGGGGGGGGGGGGTGCTAATAAATTTGCATTTTTTTAATTCTGTAAACTTTGATCAACTGGCAATTTTCTCTTTTCCCGAATTATTAGGTAAGCTGGGGGCATAAATTTCTGTCAATGGCTTTATATGATCTGCGTCTCCTTCATAATCCCATTCAGGATATAATATGTGAGGCCTATTTATGAGTTGCTATAATTGAAATCCATCTAGCCTTTCTTTTAAAATTTTTAACCCACACCAAGTCATTTTTATAAAGATTATTTTTATTTTATTAAATATCCCTTAAAGATTAATTATACATATATTTCTATATTTTTTTAATGATGATCAGAATTTTCATTATTTATTTTATACTTAAAACAAATAAGTATAAATTTGTATTCTAGCACACTATATATATTTATATTAAATTTTATGTATAATAAATATTATTACTAGTAAAAAGAACAAATTATATATCAATTAATTAAAATTTTAATATTGATTATTTTTCTTTATAAAGATAAGAGCCTCAAGTTTAAGTGATAATGAGTTTCTCCTATGAAGACGATCTGTATCTTCTGTGGTGTTAAACGGCTTGATTTGAGCTGATTTTTTAAAAGGGTTGGACTAGATATTTTATCCGAAAAAAATTATACAAGTCTAAAGTTTTGCTCATACTAAAATATTGAGTTAGCCATTTTTAAAAATCGACTCAAATAAAAGCGTTTAACAACGCTAACCAGCTATGCTGAAGACTGATTCTGATGGAGCATTTGTTGCATAGTGATGTTAAAAGTTACTTTTGAAACATAACTAGTTACAGTTACTAGTTACATTGGCAAAAAACTAGTTACAGTTACTAGTTACATTTTTACAAAGGTAACTAGTTATTAGTTACAGTTATTTTCAAAAATAACTAGTTACTTACTTTATACATCCTTCATATGCGCATTATTTATTTATTGAATGCATTTATTTTATATAAAAAAAATTAGGATAAACAAAGTATAATCAGTTATTTAAAATAATATACAATTTATTTATATAAAAAAATATCGCAAAATTGAATATTTACATCGAATATAAAAATATATATTTGCATTGAAAAAAAACATTTATTTTTCATAAAAATATATATTTGCATTGAAAAAAAACATTTATTTTTCATAAAAATTAAATCTAATAAATGTTTATTTGCTTTTAACAACAAATTAATTTCAAAGTTATTATCTAGGAGACGTGCTCGTTTATCTCCAAAAATGAGCTACCTAGACTGAATAAGCGCTCTACGGGAGCACTTGATGTTAGAACAACATTATATTTAATAAAGATTAATTTTAACTTTGGAAAATCGTTATATAAAGAAAAAGTGTTGTTATTAGATTTGATAAAGTTTTCTATAAGTTCATTATCCAGAATATTTTGGCGCTTTAGGTCAAAAAATCCAACTATATCAAGTGATGTTGGTTTTGAGCATGATTCATTCGTCTGGGATTCACTTTGAGGTATTAAGGTATTTATTAAATTTAAAATTTCCTCCTTTTTTGCTTTATTTTTTTCTTGCCTTATTCAAGGCCAGTCAGTTTTAAATAAAGGGTGAAGAATTGCAGCAATGATGTCATTATCATAAAGATTATTAAACCTATGACATGATATTATTAATTTATAAATAATTATTTGATTTTAGTTACCTTTTTTCAATACTAGCTAATATAGTATCCTTTAGAGGTTGACAATATTTTAATCCCTGCACATCTGCCATACATATAAGTATTTGTGTTATTGTTGGGAACAATCAGACATTTTCACAAAATTTTAAATTAATAAATTTAATTTAAAATTAATTTATCACAACATATTAAAAATAAAATTAATTATTTGAATATATCTTTAAAAGTAACTAGTTACTTTTGGCAGTTACATTTCAAAAATTTTAACTAGTTACAGTTACTAGTTACAATTTTTAAAATATAACTAGTTACAATTTTTAAAATATAACTAGTTACAGTTATTTTTTAGCCAAAAGGTAACTAGTTACCTTAACATCACTAGTTGCAGGTGATGCCAAATATACATGCAAGGTTTTTCAAAGTTGAAAACCTTTGAACAATAACCCTCCAATAATCAAGAGGATCGATTGAGATATTATATTGATATCTTTGTTAATTAATAAAATTTGAATTCGCATGGTTTCTATTTACTATATGTTCTTTCTTAATGAAAACAATTTAATAAACAAGAGACAAATAAAAATACACAAGAATTTTGGATAATTTTCTTTTTTATTAGTTTATTATTATAATTTACTTCTTTATCTTAAAAAATTCAAAAAAACATTAAACATTTTTTATTATAAAGATACTTTTTTGTGGGAATTATGAAGATTTACGAGAGAGGGAAATAAGTTCAAAAATAAATAAAGAATATCGAAAAATAAAATAAAACATGTGTATAAAAATAAAAAATCCGATATTTTTCTAAAAGTCTAATATCGGCGCCGATAAATATTCGTTCAACATATTTCTCTTTCTCGTCATGACGATCTCGCAAAAGTCGCTAATTCACATATATGTCTATTTTTGTTATAAGGCATATCGTTAGACATGCCAAACCTTTTTCAAAATTCATAAGTGGATTTTTTTTACAAAAAAAAAATAATGACTTGTATGCAGCGTCTGCATGACAGGATTTTCACTGGGTGCAAACCAAAAACCTATGCTCCATCCCTTTATTGGATTGATATTGTTTTCCACTACACACTTGTCGTCGACCTCACCAATTCGTCAGCGTGATTGTTTTGATATCCGTGTAACATGATTCGTCGTTTGTATAGTTATGTCATAACAATTCAATTATTTCTTTGTACTTTAATTGTGCTGATATTTGACGAACTCAAACTCGTAAAGAATGAAATAAGCTTCTACCTATCGTCGATAACATCGCAGCATATATCTATTTCTGGTTATATATTGAATCTATTCAGTATCTCGAGGCTTCGAAACTCCATGATAAATTTATAAATTTTTATACTGTAACTTCGATACAATAAAACTTATATTCAAAAAAATAAAAGATTAATAACTTTAACTTTATAAAATCTTAATATAACAGAATTCAAAGCCACTCCTCCTCCAGGAAAATCTTAATACTTTTATAAACGACTCTCCCGATCGGACAGTGTTTTCTATTAGAACCCTGCATTTTAATAAATTTTTTATTTTTAATTGCTGCTCAATTTTTTTTAAATTTAGGCCCGATGTAGCATTTTTAAATGAATCGCAGTCATTTTAACATGATAGAAGTGGGTACGAGATTTTGTATAGATATGAATTTTATAAGAAAATAATATGAAATTTAGAGTAATTGCGAGATCTTTTAAAATTCAAACATTAATTTAATTATAAATTACAAAATTTAATTATAATTTGAAAATTAAATATTGTAAATATAATCTAAGAATTAAATATTTTAATTTAAGAATTAATTATTATTATTTAAACATAAATCTAATTTCAAAACTTTTACTTGCAAAATATGAACATTTGATCTATATCAAAATCTTTTTAAAATCGATCAACCCCCCCCCCCTGATTATATTATTAAAAGGCAAGTCTAATTTATAAATTTATCATTCACAATATTATTAAATTTTCTTCTTTTTTTTCTGAAGCAGAACTACATTATAATTATTTAATTTTAAAATTAAGGAAGAATAAAATTTAGCCAAAAGATGTCTATATTTATTGTCATATTTATAACCAGGGATGTGAACCCTTCTACAAAAAAGGGTTCGGGTACAGGAATAAAATTTGAAACCGGGTCCGGGTTCAGGGATAAAAATAATGACTCAAAGTAAGATTTTTTTATTTATTTATTATTATACTTCAATATATACATATTCATAATTTACAAATGAAAAATTTTAAAATGAAATAATTTATATTTTAAATGTTTTATTCTCGCACAATCATAATATCTTCTAAAATATCATCCTTAAGATTTCCACGTAAAGTAGACAATATAAATTTTAATTCACGTTCTACCCTTACCTAAAATAGAGAGTTATCTTTATAAAATTATTGTACTTGTGTCGCCGGTGCAGCCATGAAGATTCTAGATAAGATATATAATTCTGGATATATTGAAGAATTTTCTTCTCAGAATTTTAAAATATTTATATCCTTATTTATTCTCTTAACTTCTGAGAACCTTACTATTAAAGATGCAATAGACATTTTTTGATCCTCCTTTCTATCTAATTTGATTTTTTTTTATCTATCTAAAAGTAAAATTTCAAGATCATCAATGTTGCTATCATTATTATTATCACTACAACCAATAGGTATTGTCATAGCCTCCAATATATTGTAAATAATGGAGTTTGACTTATGCCATAAATCCTTAAGATGGTCTCTAGCCATTTGTTTTTCAGTACTCAATAAAACTTGATATCTAGGGTCTAAATATATAGAAGCGTATACAACACTATTTTGCAAATATTGTTCTCTCGATTTTTCATGTTCTAATATTTCGTATAAAAAGGACTGTAAATTTTTCTAAATCTAATCGGCATCTAATTAACATAATTGTTCTGATTGTAATCTTAATGTTATTTTTAAAGGAACTAATACACTAGTAAGGTCCTTTATTTGGCATCAATCATCTTCCGACAAAATGACATCACATGCTCCTATAATAAAATAATTACAGAAATTTTCAAACTTAATAATCATTCTAGCATCATACAAATTGAGGACCAACGTGTTGTGCATTATCATTTAAATTAAAATATTATTTCTTGTACTGCAAAATAATTCACTTTCAAAATAATCAACGTATTTCTATAACATAGCATATTAATAAATTTACATAATAAAACATTATTATATTGGAAAATAATTTATGATATCAATCTCTAAATAAAATGAAAGTCCAGGAAGAAAATTGAAAGAATAACGCGAAGATGAAATAAATGATTCCACAAAAAAGTTAATAAAATTTAAAATAAATTGTATTATTTTTAAAAAAATTGTATTATTATTTTTAAATTTTTTTATGACACCTAGAACCCTTGGACCCTCCACTTTCAAAAATGGTCCCGGTTCGGGTTCAGCCAAAATACAAGGGTTCAGGGTCTGGGTTCTGGTTCACATCCCTGTTAATAACTTAAATTCTAATAGTTGGATTTTTTCCCAAAAGGACCAAAAAATAATTTTTTTTGATGTAAATTTCAATATTTGTTTATTATTAAACATATCAAAAAGTTTAAAACGTTCATAAAAAATATTGATAAATTAAAACAAATTTTGATAAGTTGAAAAAATATTGATAAATTTAAAAATGTTACCTAAAAATATAAGATATTCATAAAATAATATATATAAATTGAAAAAAATAAAATTTTATTAACCCATTAATGGTCACACTTTTTCCAGCCGATGAAATTTCTTGATATTTTCAAATTTTATTTATTTTAGTCTAACTAAGAAATCATAGAAAAATTGGCACGATAAAATCAATGTTAGTAATGATTTTTTATCATCAGGATTCACTTCCATAACTTCCACAAATTTACTGCTTCTACATCAATAAAATTGCTTAGGCCACCACCATTTTTTACCTCATATATTTATTCAATATGTTGACACTAGGTTATCGCACATATCAACGCTACCCATATGGAAATTTAGGAACTTTTAAGATTTTTATTTTGAGGGCTAAGATCTTTACATGTTGTTGCAACTGTCACCACTGAACTATCATTCAATCGAATTACAAATATTTTATATGTCTTTTCAAATCGGTGGTATCCTCTCTTAACTTTAATTGTTAAATCTATTTTCTCTTATAGTCCCAGTTGCGAAAAATTCAAGATGCTTCAAATACGATAAAAGCCTTATAGATGTAAAAAATATCGAATTGAATAGAATGCAAAGAAGGTACTTATATTGTAACAACCAAGCCATTGTCTTATTTTATTAAATCCAAATATATATCCATCGGAGGAAGCAAGGGAGGTTAATGATTATATCCAAATCGAATGGGTTTACCTTTGATAAACATATTACAGTAATGTTTTCCTCGGTACGGTATCATTTGCTCATCTATGCATAAATTAAAATATACAAAATTGTTGAAACTTTTATTTAGAAAATTTAAAGATAGGCGGACTTTTGAAAGATTATCTTCTTCATCAAAAGTTGAGTTATTAGGTAGATTCCTTTTAATACGCGAAATGTATGTTGTATCATTGAATTTCTAACGATTGGTGTAGTAATATCATTGTCATTCGACCAATATATTCGTTCTTGCAGTAAGGAATGATATTCAGTAAGCAAAAGAATTCATATATATCTTTTCATATCTGACTCGGTGGTTGTAATAAAATTTGGTCTATTGTTTTGTTTGGAATAATTATGTAAGTGACCCACAAGCAGTGAATACATTTCTTGATCAAAAAATAATTCAAATATTTATTGGAGTTTGTTTTTCCGATCAAATTAAATTGAAATTCAATAATAATTCAATGTCATTTTCAGTATGTCTCGATGTGTAAATTGGATTAAATTTCCTCCATTCTAAATTGGAAAATTTAATTTGCTTTCTTGATTTGTAGATATTGAGGTTTCTGATACAATAAAAATGTCTGCTGGATTTTGGATTTCGATCTCCCCTGCAGTATATAGTGGAAGATTAGGTGTTTCAGTTAGATCATTACATTAGGAGGTATAATTAGAACTGTTTTATATACATGGTCTTCATCGGAAAGCATGGGATATAATAATATTTTAATATTATTTAAAAATATGGCAGATATAAGATGATAATAAATAATCTACAAATAATTTTTATATTCCAAGAAAAAATATAATGAGAATAAGAATAAAATTATGATTTTTCAAGATTTTTTTATAAATAATAAATATATTATGATGAAATAGTATTTTTGTTTAGTAAGAATATAAACTTTATAATTAAATATTATGGCAAATTTTTTTATATAATTTTTTTTAGAAAAATTTTTTTGAACCCTTATATGGTCAACGGTTGCATAAATGGAACAGTAAAAAACATGATTATAAATAGAAAAATAGATAGAATGATGGGCCAAAATTAATTAGAATAGGTTAAGGAAGAAATAAATTTATATTAATTGCATTAAAAAAAATACTCTTTCATCAAGGGAGCCTAGAACATTTAGCATTTTAATAGTCCAAAATTGTCGAACTTCAGTGGCATCTAGCGCACTCAAAAATAAATATTTTTTATGTTTTTTTTATGTTACAATCTATAAGAATCATATGTGAAATTATTTCAGCTCAAAAAATTTATATGTGAAAAATTAATAAATAACAACTGATGCAGATATGGTACCTTGACCATTAATGGGTTAAAAATAGTAAAAAATAATTTTTTTAAATTTTTTTATTAAAAGTAGACATAATAATTAACAATAGAGTAAAAATTTATTTTAAAATTTTTTCTTACTATTTAAAAACAACAATTAATATTGTAAGGGTCTAAACCATGGATAGATTGGCAGTTGGATCTGCATACTTCTATTTATATTCTCTGCTTGAGATAATAGTTTTCGCCCAGAGATAGTAAAGAGTTTTTAGCATAGTCAGGAAAATAGATGTTTTGTAGAAATTGACATTTTTAAGAGAGAATTTTAAGGCATTCTATACAGATATAATCCCAAGCTAAAGGTTCTAGCCCAGGGATTGAGTATTATTCCATCTAGGTTTTTGCTGTCTAAGATACTCAGCCCTACTTGTTCTAGTTTTTCCAGGTCTCAAGAACTACCATTTGAAAAATATTTAGAACCATATATATGCAAGAGGCAAAAATAACGAAATTATATTTCTAAACAAATTACACTTTATTTGCTAATAAATTTAAGTCAAAATACGTATTCTCATTTTTCACTGAATTAGAACTAGTTATTACACTGCCTAAACATTTTTAATTATACCTTTTAGCTACCCTTATGAAGAAGATATTTCAAAAGCAAATGAATACATGAAAACAAGATGCCCTGGTTGGTGTGATAGGGTTTTATGTAGCAAATTGGCACAAAGTTTTATTGTAAGTATCCGAATTCAATGCGACTTGTCTATGTGCTTATTTGGATGCTCGAATTGACAATGTGTTTGTAATAATAGTATAAATGGCAATAAATAGAAATTGTTTAGAACAAAGTATGTTGCACAAAATAGTTATGCCCCTAGATTGAACTCATTAGACAAGTTGCACTATATAAATATTGTTTCTAGTATCATTTTTTAAATCTATGATAAAATACGATTAAAAAAATATATTATAGAATTCTAAGAAACCTATAATTTATCGGATCATAGGCGAAAACACTTGTATGGGAGATCATAAAGTTTATTCTATTTTTAATTTAATAATCCTGTTGAAATTATATTTATAGCCCGTATGTTTAGAATTCTCTTTAAAGTTTTAGTAACAAGATTGCTATTAAATGTCATACTCGTATATATCAAGCAATACATCATTTACATTACACAATTATACCAAATTTTACAGATTATTAGAGTGCAATAGAAAACATGTTATTTTAAATTATAATGATATTTATATTATTTAAAATTTACGTATATTGCATTATACATCACTACGATTGAAAAGGTTATATTTATAGAATTCTTGTTTTTATAAGTTAATTATTCAAAATTTTAATAATATAGCAAGCTTTTTTATAAAATGTGAAATTATCAACTCAACTAAATATTATCACTAAAAAATTATTATCAAAAAACATGTATTTATTATTCAAAGTAGAATTTGCGAATCTTTAAATTTCCAAGTCACGGGGATTAATTATAAAAATACGATCATGTGTATACTACGAATCGAATAATTACGTTATTCATATTCGATTATAAAATTAAATTATTTTAAAATATTTTGAAATGAGAGAATATGCATTATTGAAATTTAAAATAATTTCTATGTCCTAATTCCATAAAAATTCTAATTATTATTTTATCTCTAAGAAATAAATTGAGAAACGTCATTTTTTACTTTATTTTTTATATTTTTTAACGACTCGCCTAAATATTTTAAATTAATTTAAACACCAGCCTACACTTTTTAAATTTTAGGCAAGGGCTCGGCCTAGCCCGATTTGGGCCACTTGCCCGCCTCAAGCCATTTTTTAGAGAGCTATTAACCTGGCCTCATAAAAAATAGGGATGAATTCTTTATAACTGCCTTTCATAAGTTGTTAATAGACCACATCTCTTCATGGTCATCGCCTATGTTCCTTAGAAGTATAACACTGTTCCTATTTAGGTTCCAGATTTTCATCATAAAATAGTAGACAACGAGTAATTATGAGTTATCAATATAGATTTTATCGTGAGGGGCTATCTCAAGGCTTCTAAAAAATATGTTCACTGGCAATGAATTTGACTCACTCTCATTGAAAATCATATTTAAAGTATTTTTAATGCCTTCTTTGTTCTGGTAAATTGATTCTACAAAAAAGGTTTTCTTCTTTTATTTGATATAGTTTTTAAGTCGTAAAAATTTCAACATTTACTAATATTTATTTTTAAAATAATGTTCTAAAAAGAGTGTTGTAAAAATAAAATTTATTTTTTCAAAAAAATACGGTGAACGACGCCCATTTATTTTGGTAGAATATATTTTTTTTTACGTTCATTAAATTAAAAATATATTATCATTTTTTTAAATTAAAAATAATGTGATTTTTTTAAAAAAGATTTTATTTTCTTAGTTCTCTCTTTTATATATTCTCGGTAAGCTTCCATTTCTCACTATGGTAGTACTTCTGTCCTTGTATTTGAAATGGTTTATATTATAATTTCTGATTATTTTTTTTGATTTCAATATTTAAATTTGAATGATCTTAGATAAAACTTCCACGAAACGAAAATATAATAAAAAATTTATATCATATTAAAGGAAACCAATGCGAAAACCTAGAATGAAAAGCCTCAGACAAAATCAATCTGAAATTTCTTTTTTTTACTATGAATTAATGGATAATTTCGAAATGGATTGTTTATCAAAAAAAAATTAAATCGTTAAACTTAGGATAGGGAAGGCCAACTGGAACTGGTTAAGACTTTCCAAAACTTAATCGACTCCACGCAGAGATAATAAACCAATCTACATATAGCCGACAATTTTTTTTGAAAACTTTCTCGACTATGGTCTAAGAAGTTCCTATATGACCTACACTAGATAAAATAAATATTTTAAATTAATTACCTGAAATGATATCCTTATTCATCAAATGTAACGCAATCCTAACTTCTGCTCCTGTAAGACTCGGTTTCGTGGTTAATTCCATTTTAACTACAAAACTCGCTTTCATACCAGTTTCTAATTAAGATGTCGATTTTATATCAAAAAATTTATGTATACTAACTAAGAATGTTTCAAAATGGGAAAGAGGGAAGATTTGATGCGAACAAAGGTTTGCATAGAATTTGAAAGGATCAAGAATTGATATCTGGTAAAATAAAATATCCACTATACAGCAAAAAATACGAATAAATGATATAATAAGGTTCAGCAAAGCGCTCATCTACTCTACATTAAAGAATATAAGTATGTAATGTAATCTAGAATTAAACATAGAGGGTGAGATATATGGCTACGTACCTAAGAAATTCTTTGGTCAGGTTAGGTTTAGATTAAAAATCAAAATCGTGAAATCACTCGGTTTGGTAAAACATCAATCAAATTTAAAAAATGTCGATTAAATATTTTAAATGATGATTAAAAAAAATTTTAAATTATCAATACAGGGTTTTCAATTTTAAATTATCAATACAGGGTTTTCCATTCAAAAAAGGAAAATCTCGATCAAAAAAGGAAAGGTTTCAATCATAAAAGTAAAAGGCCCAAACAAAAAAGGAAAAGTTCCAAAGGTTTAAGAAAAAGTCCGATCAAAAAAGGAAAAGTGTTAAACAAAAAAGAAAAGGTTCAGTCAAAAAAGAAAAGTGTCAAACAAAAAAGTAAAAGGTCCAATCAAAAAAGGAAAAGTGTCAATCAAAAAAGGAAAGGAAAATGGTCAATCAAAAAAGGATAGTTCCCATTCAAACAAAGAAAATCGTAATTTTTTAAATACTTTTTTTAATGTCAATTTTTCTTCCTTCTTATTTTATTTCTAACTTTTTGCGATTTCTTTACTTTATTTTTCTTACTATCTTTTGTCTTTTTAAAAAATTTATAAATTTTCCGTTATTTTTCTTCACCTCTCTGCTCCATTTTTTTTAAACAATTCTTTACTTTTTTTCATTATACATTATTCTTTTTGATATTTTCTCCTTATATTATAATCTTTTACATACATTTCTAACCTTTTTAATATCTTATCATTTTTAATCTTAATTTTTTTGATCTTTTCTCAATTTTTCTTTTTAGGAATTATATTTAATTTTCACTAAATTTTTGGCAGACAATTTTTTTATTTTAGGATTTTGTTACATATCTAATTATTTAATTATACGAAATATGTAATATAGTAAGAAACAAAAATTTATATTAATCATTAATAATTTCCCCTCTTCTAAATTTTGGAATCTCCATGCTCTATGATACGAATTAATTTTTCCTCGTTACTGAGATTTTGATTTCTGACAAAATCCTTCCATTGAAAAAACACATTTTCAATAAAATTAAGATAAGAACTGTAAGGTGGTAAATATTTCAATGTATGCCCTCTTCTTTCTATCGATTCCCTATTTGTATGATAATGATGAAATGGAACATTATCCATCACAAAAATCATATTAATCATGTTACCTTCTTCAAGATGATTTAATATTTCATTTACAATGTGCTAAAATACATAGCATTGCAAGGGTCATCAAGAACTAGAAAAGATCAAAAAAAATAAGTTTAAAAATGACTTTAAAAGATTGAGGTTAGAAATGTATGTAAAAAATTACAATATAAGGAGAAAAAATCATAAAAAGAATATTGAATGTATGATGAAAAAAAAGTAAAGAATTGTTAAAAAAATGGAGCAGGTGGAAAAATAACGGAAAATTTATAAATTATTTTTAAAAAGAAAAAAAAATAAATTAAGAAAAGATATAGTATGAAAAATAAAGTAAAGAAATCGCAAAAAGTTAGAAATAAAATAAGAAGGAATGACAAAAATAAATGAAAATTTAAAAAATTGGCAAGAAAAAAAATTAAAAATTACGATTGTCCTTTTTTGAATGGGAATTTTCCTTTTTTGATTGACATTTGTGATTTTTTGATTGGAACTTTTCCTTTTTTGCTTGATACATTTCCCTTTTTGATTGAATCTTTTCTTTTTTTGTTTGAAACTTTTCCTTTTTTGATCGGATCTTTTCCTTTTATGATTGGACCTTTTCCTTTTATGATTGAAACTTTTCCATTTATGATTGAAACTTTTCCTTTTTTGAATGGAAAACCCTGTAATTAAGAATATAAATGAAATAGGATCGGGCCTCTAGGTAGGAATTCTCAGGAATTCTAACCGTGGGTTTAGGTTCGGATAAACGGTTCTGTTCTGTTCGTAAAATATATCGGTTCAATTTGAAGTTTTAAAAAAATTTCATAGCGTATTATAATTATGTAAATTCTCTAAAAAATAACATTGGGCTGTATTCAATTAAAATTTCAAGAATCTCTTCTGTCAAATTATAATCAAACTTAGAATATTTCAAAAGAGAGAGTATAATAAGAAATTAAAGGAGTGCATTTCGCCAAAAATGCCCCATTTTTTAGACATTTAGAGGTGTATATCCCAGCCGCTGTTTGGAGTTGGGGGCTAAAATTTTATTTTTTTCTTAGTATAATATATAACTTGTAATAATTTTTTAAAAAATGCTTTTTTTTGGTGATTTGTCATGGAATTCACCATGTATTTACTTGCCATATAAAATAAGGTTAGCAGAAAAAAGACATCACGAGCCTTTAAGAAATCAAACTAATAAGGGAACATAATCCATAGATTTTCCCGTTTCTACACAATTTTTCTGATTTATTTTCTTGCCTTTTACTTTATTTTTTGGATAAGCGGAAAATAATTCCCCGGAAAAAATCCCAAATAATAATTCTCAGAAAATATTTCTCCGGATTTGATTTTCTCAAAATTTTTAAATATATTATTTGAGGATTTTTATTCCATGGATATATTTATAGGGAATTTTTTCTCCTATTTTATTAATTTTGTAATTTAATATCTTAAAAACGGGGATTTTTTCCCGGAGAATTATTTTTCTAGATTCTATTTTTGACCTTTTTATATTTCATTTAGAGAGTACTTTTATTTATAGCTATTTTTTAATACTTTTATACAAAATTTAGTTAAAATATTTTTTTAAACTATTTTGGCCAAAAAAATTGATTGTTTTGTAAAATGATGATTATGACAATTTCCACTTTTGTAAATTATATTAGGAGTTAAACCAAAATAAATTTAAAATATTCTTTTTAACTATTTTGGCAAAAATATTTTTGAAAGTTCTAAAATGACGATTATGACAACATATTGCGTGCTTATGTTATTATTTTTGTTATTTTGCGTCTTTTAGTGCTACAGTTAAAATAAAAGAAAATAGAAAAATTTTTAAAAATCAAAAAAAGTACTGAAAATTATAGTTAAATAAAAAGGTTATCAAAGATCAATTTGAAAACAAGGAAAATTGTAAAAGGAAAAAATGAGTAACAGGGAAATAAAATTAACCAAAAATTGAATAAAATGAAGGAAATCTAAAATTAATAGATTTGGAATTCCAGATAAACTATAGGGTAAATGGTAATGAAAATACAAGAATGATTAGTTGAATTTGTGATATCTTCTCCACATTCATTACCACTAGAAGCTAAATAATGTATAAATATAATTACAATAAATTTACAATTATGCAAATTGCATCATTTGATTTGGCAATCTTGTAAATTGTTTTTTAATTTCTATAAGAATTTCACTAGAATTTAACATAAGAAGAATCTTAAAAATTATATACAAGCGTATAAAAACTCCCATAACATAATTGCGACCTCCTAACCAATTAGGGTTGACATGCTAGCCATGTGGCAAAAATTACTTTGAATATCCATGCTTCAGGACTGCATTCGTCAAACTTGACATAAAAAATGCCCTCAATACTTTAAATCGTAATTTTTTAATTCTTAGAAGCTTACCCGGATTATTTCATCCAGTCAAGCTATTACTCTTATATATTACAATATGGCTATCAATTTATTCTTTCAGCACAAGGAATAGCAAAAGGTGATTCACTCGGTCCGTCTTTATTTCGCTTAGCTAAAAATTACATCATCCAAAATTTAAAAACCAATTGTAATCTCGACTCAATATTTGGTATTTGGATTATGCCACATCGGGTACTATCAGCCAAATAATTAAAGCTTTAGATATCATTATTTTAAATTTTTAACAACTAAATTTGTCCTTAAATTATAAAAAATGTGAAATTTTAAGTCTTAGAGCTTTATGTTTAAAATTAGCTCTGTTAGCATCTTTACCTATCAATTCTAAGGGCATTCATTTTTTAAAATAAATTGATTTATGCTAAAAATTTTCCTTTATTTACTTTACATATTTATTAATTAAACGTTAAATCTTGATTCACAAATCTTTCAGGATGGGTATATTGAATCCTAAAATTACAAACCTATATAGATGATTTTAAATATAAATACGCTTAATAAGCAAAGTTCAATTAGGCTTTAAATTCAACAATATCATCAAGGTTTAAATAAATTCTATATATTATTTGTAGGTTTAAATAAAGAATATGTGTTAATATTTATCGCAGAAGCTGAAATACAATATTTTGCAAAAAGCTGTATTTAACAATTTGTCGCTTGTGTGAATTTGCGAAATTAATTTATGAATTGTAGTCAATTTACCCGAGCAGTCATTCTACAACGCTACACAGAACCTTATCAAAAAATAAGGTCCATGAAGATCTCTGGTTTGCATACATTCGGCTGTTGGCCATTTTATGGTTTGTATGTTAATTAGAAGATATTATCTACATTAATTTAATGACAAATAAGTAGTGCTGTAAAGTAACGTCAAAAATTACCTTTTTTGAAGAAAAGGAACGCCGTTACCTTCTTCTAGAGGTAACGAGTAACGGTAACGCGTTTCTTTTTTTGAAACGGTAAAAAAATTTTCTTAAAAAAATATTAAATAAGAAAAACATATTTTATTGTACAATAAAATTACCTTTATTTATTTTTTAATATATATAATTTAAGCCGAGTTTTTAATTCATATCATCAACCATTCCTTCATTTTTATTTTAAATTCTCGTTAAATTTTCAGTCGAATATTAATCTAATTAATATTCAATCAAAATTCAGAGTAAATGTTTATAATAATATTATTTAAGAATAATATGTCCAAAGTACTTATATCTTCAGAAGAAGATGATTTACACTTCCCTGGCCCCATTTTGAAACATGTACATCAATAAAGAAAATTAAAAGTACAAAGTCTATACTTTGTAAATGTAAATTATGTCCTAACGCAAATATTTCAACCTCAATGTCCAGCAGTTCAAACTTAAAAAGCAAATGAAGGTAAAGATGATGAATTAATATATTATTATTTTAAACATTACTTTTAGTATATTAAATCATAGGTATGATAAAATAACTATTACAAGAAGTATTCTTTCGTAATATTTTGAAAAGCTTAATCATGAAATTAAAATATAAGCAATTAAACTATACTATAGTATAGGGCTAGAAAACAACATTAAATGCCCAAGATTTGTTGAAAATAATATGGGTTTTAACAATATCTTATTTCTTGTTTTAGTAATGCAATTGGTTTAGCTTCAAATTGTTGATAAATTTAAAGAATAAAATAGTGATTTTAAAAAACTTTGTTTAAATAAATATGTATTTTTAATATGAAGCTATTGTTTTAGAGAATGAACTTAGATATTTTTCCTGATTCCTTTTTAATGAAAATTGGTAATCTGAAAAATATAAGAAATTGAAAAATTATCTTTCGCAATCATAATTACAATTTTTAATGTTTTTCTTGACAATAAGGTTAGCTAGTAGGGATTAAAAAATGCAATTAAATTTTTAAAAGATTTATCTTCAATTATTGAAATAGCTAAGTTATTTTTAATAAAAAATTCGGGAATTAATAGAATTTTAATTATAAAATTATAAACTATATATTCCTCAGAAAGAGATTATTGAACATTTGAATATTAATAAAAAATTGAAACCAATCATCTACAAAGATAAAAATAGCTAATCAGCTGTTGATGAATTAATTAATTTTGTAATTGAAGAATTACAACCTTCAATTTTAGAAAGCCCTTCATTTATTAATGTTATCAAAAAATTACAGCCAACTAAAAATATGATGTCTAGGCCTACCCTCATATTAAAAATTAACAAAGCATACACCATGGCAAAGAAATTAGTGGATTTATTGTGTATCCCAAAAATTTTCTGTAGATAGTCTTATTAAGGAGAATTGAAAATTTGACGAATCTTGTGATAAATCTGAATTATAGAGATTTTCAGATAAAGACAAGTCGTTCATGGTTGAATATTGTATGGTTAGAGGTAATTAAGAAATATGATATGCATATATATGATTTTATAAATGGAACGGATTGCTACGGCTCTTTCTATTTTAGAGATGGAAGAAAAAATGCATTTGGGATATCTCACACCCACCATAATATTAAAACTTAAAAAATAAGCCGCTTATAAATTCAATCCTGGAAGGCATAAATAAAATGTTTACAGTTCAAATATTGCTTACAATTTATATTTGGATTATCTTTTATTTTCAATAGATTCAAACACAAATATAATGAATACTATCGGCAATAATTCACCAGCTATTTAAATTGAATTGGCCCTGACTAAAATTAGAGGTCAACAAAGGAAGAATGTTAGAACTTATTTCCAGTTTGAGGGAAGATCATGATAAAGAGCAGACTTAATTCCTTTATCCAACATACATACCAGAATATTTTCTGAAAAAAATAAATATTTTTTTGATGAGGAAATGAGTGAAGATCCTTGTGAAGATGATCTAAACTTTTTTCAAAATAAAGATAATTCTTTATATTTATTAAATATATTTCAACTCTCCCATCTTCTGCGCCAATTGAACGTGTGTTTAGCACGGCAAAAGCTGTGTTGAGCACTAAGCCTCTTGTTTATCCGATCAAGATTTTGAAAATCAGTTGTTGCTAAAATTAAATAAAAAATTGTTACAAAAAGATGTTATTTTATGAATAATATATTATTTTTGTATAATTTTATTTATATTATATATTGTAAAAAAAAAATATTTTTTTTGTATATAATATTTAATTTTTTAAGTAACGAGTAGCCCGTTACTTTTGAATGGTCTATACACTTTTAATTAATTAACACCGAGTAGTATATAGTATTTTCCTCATTGAATACCAATTATAAAATGAGAACCCTAAAATTAATACAATGGTATGATAATTATATTGAATGTTAAAGCCATAGGAAAATGATTTTAATTAAATAAAAATCATATGAATTCAATGTATTGAATTGAAATCTCATGACATTTATTTAAAAATAAAATTTCCTATTGAAATATAATTTTATTTAATTCCCAATCAATGATATATAACTATATATCATTATATATCATTGTTCCCAATATAAAATTCGGTGCAAAATAAAGATCTCAAATTTGTTCTATAAATTTATCGATAAAATACATATATAAAATTATGTATTTACATATATTTTTTATTTTCTTGCAAATGTAAGTTCCATAAGCATAGATTTTGTTGGTTGGGGTAGCGGAGGGGTTTCTAATTTATTGGAAAATATTTACCTGAACCGAACCGAACCAAACCCACCTATTTTTTTAAAACCGAACCCGAACCGAACCTGGACAAAATTTTTGCCGGGTTCGCATCCCTGGTTTGGGTATTGAGAATTTACAATTTAAAGATTAAAATATTTTATATAAAAAACGTTTTGTAAAAAATAACAACTTCTCTAAAATTGATTCTAAAATTTTTATATAAAATTTTTTAATATATTTTTTAAAATATTAGATAATGTCTGTTCAAATATTGTACATGTCACTTGACCTCGAGTTTACAGGACCGCTTTCACGTTAGCTTTTATTACAATGGACCAATCTTTTCGAAAAATTATCAGTCAAGAAATTACAAAGCTTGATTTGTTATTAAAAGCTTTTATCAACGTAATAATATAATTGTTTCATGCGAAATCTAAATTCTTTTTTAAGGATATTAACCAAGGACCAGAAACAAAAGAAAAACTAAGAGATCTAAATAATCAAGCTTATGATGTTTCTGAACATATAAAATTACGAATTGAAGTATATTATTTTATTTGTTTAATGATTCTAGTATAACAGGATTTAGAAGGCATCATAGAAAATACTCCTACTCTTAAGAAGGATATTAATATTTTAAAAGAGCAATATTCTAAGTTAATTTGATCTTAAATTCAACATCATATATATATTAGGAATATAAATAATTTGAGGTCTGCAAATTTAAAAGCTCAACTTAATTTTGATGTATTGACAAGGTCTGCCCTTTTTAACAAAGATATTCATGAGAAACAAAATGATTTTCTAAAAAAGAGGTTTTACTCAATATTTTATTATGAAAATTATTTAATAAAAGGAAACAAGCTAAAAAAGAAGAATTGATTTCAAACTCTATTAAATTAACAACTGGTTTAAAAGATGTTACAAAATTTATAGCTCAAACAGTTAAACATAGTGAAGATAATTTAAATCTTTTAAGTAAACAGTTATCAATATTTTTACATTACATTTTCTAATATACTACCTAGCATTTTATATATTTAATTACTCTTTTGTTTATTATGAATTTTAAAATTTCAATAAAAATAAACTACTTAATAAATTCTGATAATACTTTTACTAGAGATCTTCAATCCTGACCCATTTTTGGTCTGGCCTGAACAGTCTTTGTAATCTTTAACATAATATGGAATAAATTGATTTTATAATTTTTATAGGAAACAGAGGGTCAATATTTTTTATTTGTAGAATATTTTTTATTAATTTTCGATTCATAAATAAATTCTAGCTAAGCTAATAATTTATTTTAAAAGTTGGGTTGGCTTGGGACAAATAAAAAAAATTTTTGTTCAAGATCAAGTATGGCAAATTTTTAAGATATTAGGGTGAGCCAGGTTTTAGGTCCATCCTGTACTTGGAGGCCAGGCTTATTTTATTTTTAAAAATTTTGGGCTGGGTCTGGTCGGACCTTAGAAATTTTTTAAATATATCTAAATTTATCAATTTTATGTTGAATAAATTTTTTTATAGAAATTAGACCATATAACATGTCATTTATTTTGAGTAATTATAAAAATTAATTTCTATATTTAAATTAAATAAATTCGAGCCAGACTGGGCCGATATATTTTTTCAAAAAAAATTCCGAATTCAGGCTGGGAATTTAAAAAAAAATTTGGGCTGGACTTGAGATTTTAAGCCATCACTACACTAACATATATATATGGTGAATTTCATGATAAATCAACATTTGTTTCATTTTCTAAAATTTTTAGTAAAGTTTGCATGTATTATAATTAAAAATAAATAAAATTTTAAACTTCACTTCTGAACAGCTGCTGAGATATGGGCCAACCTCAAAGATCTTGATGGGCCTTAATTTTTTGACTAATCCCACGATAAAAAAAATTTTAGGCATAGGTTCAGCCCATATCTAAGGCAAAATGCACTCCCTATTATTTTAGATATCTTTGGATGAAGCTTAGGATTCATTGATAAATATGTTAAATCTCAAGTTGGACTGAGCACAGGTCTAGGAGATGTGGCATGACATTTTAATCATGTTATATATTTATTATTTAGGCACTTTTAAATATTTTATAGGGCTGAGCTGATATTAAATATCGGATCGGTACAGATATTTAGCGTTTTCCAAACAATATCGGATTGGGCCGATACATGTAGACCTGTGCGCCGACGAAATATCGGCGGCCAGCGCAATTTTTAAAAAATCTAATAAACGGCTGGCGGCGCGCCGATTTTTAGCCGCCGTCAATAAAATCGGTGCATATATAAATTTTTATAAGATAAATTTTTTTAATTGCTTATTCATTTTAAAAAAAACAAATAAATATACACTATTCTACAGATATCTCGGCATATTTTTTAATATTCATTTAATAGAAAACTTATTATATCCAAAATCGATTTCGTAATTTTATTATCATGTATAAAAATTATTTTATTAAAATTTTTGGGACATAATGAGGATCTTCTTGAATTTAACGTCAATCCAGCGGTAGAGAAAACTCTTTCACTAGGTATGCTAGTCGCCGGAATGCAAAGAATATTTTTGGCAAGCCTGGAAAGATTGGGAAGTTCACTCTTCTTTTCTCTCCAAAAATTTAGAACTTCCATATCTTGTGAATGTCGTTTTCCAAGAAAACTGTGGCATTCTTGTTCTAAGTCACCTAACTTATATTGTTTTAAATGCAATTTGTAACTTGTCTAATGTAACTTTCTTAAACATTAAGTTACTAAAATTCGCTTATTTTCCCACATTGTAACAAGTAACTGAAATAGAAATTAACTTTAGTAATACTAAATCTTAGTAATTTTTAAATTTCTTTAAGAATTTTTTTATTCTTAGGAAATCGATTTATTATTTTTATTTAGTCAAAAATAAGTCAAAGATCAACCAACAATGGATGGAATAATTATAATATATTAAAAAAATTATAAAAATTTAACATAAAAAAGAAAGTTCTTCAGTTCAAATGTAAATAATTTTTATTAAAAAATACGAAAAATTTTTTCTAGTAGTTATTTTCTTTGCTTCTCTTTCATCCAATTCATTTTATAATAATCCCTACCCTATTAACGAGACATCCATTCTTTATAAAACGAGTCACTTAGGTATAAAAAATTCGTACCGAGCATCTTGTGCCAAATATTTTCGGGTAAACCCGGGATTTTTTATAAATTTTCCAGGTTTGGCCATATATATCTCTATCTTATATAGATGACTAAGCTTTTGCTAAATTCATTTTGACATAAAAGGATAAATCAACTATAAAAGTAAATTTATCAAAAATTATATTAACAATATTCCTTTTTAACTGAAACATTTTGCCAATAATTGTCACTTTTCGTTATATAATTGATCCCTTAACAATATTTCACTTATCAGCCATATTAAAACGTTTATAATATAATAATTGAGATATTCCAGCGGATCTGTGATTGGTCAGGTACTATTTTACAGACCTCTACAAACATAATCACTTCATTACATTTCATATTAAAAGCTTTCCTCCATTATAATTAAATATCTCTTGATTTAAACAAAATTTATTTTTTTAAAAAAAGCAAAATCTTCTTCCAAAATCTACTCAACAAATGAGGAGTTACATAGTATGGATACTAATATAATTCAATCACGAAAGTTGTTAAAAAAATATGATAGAAGACATTTAACCGACAAATTACTGATCGTCTTAGCCCTTATATTCTTTTTCAGTGCTGTCTTGTATATAATTAGCAAACGCGTCAGTCTCTTTGGAATATTGGGATTTCGAAAAAAAGCTATAAATAATTAACGATTTGATTTATGATATTTTAATTTTTGTAAATTAAGTTTCAATATATTTGTCAATAAATTTTTACACTTGGAATATTTTGGATGTTTAATTTTTCTATATTACGAAACTAAAAGTAAAAATATCCAAACTTCATATGATCAATAGATTAATCCGCAGTCCAATCAAAAACCTTTTATTTTTGATAATAAATTTAAAAATACTTGGGCCATACCGATAATCAGATCGGGGCAGATATTTCGCGTTTAAAGAAATATCGGATAGTGCTGATATTTTTGAAAAAACTAATCCGATCTTATATTATAATTGTTTTTGGTAGTGTTGTTAATCGGCTTAGCCGAGTCGGCTCGAACAAAGCTGACCCAAATTTTGGGTCGTTTTTTTCGATTTCGACTCAAAGTCTAGGTCGTTTTTTTCGACTTCGACTCAGAGTTTGGTCGTTTTTTTCGACTCCGACTCAAAGTTGGGTTAGTTTTTTTCGACTCAGACTTGAAATTTGGGTCGTTATTTTCAAATTAGACTTGAGGTTGGTCGTATTTTTCGACTCAGACTTGAAGTTTGGGTCGTTTTTTTCGACTCGCATTCAAACATCGGGTCGTTTTTTATGACTCCAACTTATTTGAATTTTTTTAAAGCAAATGGTTAAAAATAGATATTGTAAAATGTTAAATTAAAATTTCAGTGAAGATGTACCATAGGAAAGTGACAATTGTCATAATCGTTATTTTTGAACTTTTTTTAAGGCAAATGGGTAAAAAATATGTTGTAAACATGTTAAATTAAAATTTCACTGAAGATGTACGATAGGAAAGTGACAATTGTCATAATCGTCATTTTTGAACTTTTTTCAATTTTTTAAAGGCAAATGGGTAAAAATATAATTTGTAAACATGTTAAATTAAAATTTTATTGAAGATGTACCATAGGACAATGACAATTGTCATAATCGTCATTTTTGAACTTTTTTCAATTTTTTAAAGGCAAATGGGTAAAAATATAATTTGTAAACATGTTAAATTAAAATTTCAGTGAAGGTGTACCATAGGAAAGTGACAATTTTCATAATTATCATTTTTGAACTTTTTTCAATTTTTTTAAGGCAAATGTAAAAATAGATATTGTAAACATGTTGAATTAAAATTTCACTGAAGATGTACGATAGGAAAGTGACAATTGTCATATCGTCATTTTTGAACTTTTTTCAATTTTTAAAGGCAAATGGGTAAAAATATATTTTGTAAACATGTTAAATTAAAATTTTATTGAAGATGTACCATAGGACAATGACAATTGTCATAATCGTCATTTTTGAACTTTTTTCAATTTTTTAAAGGCAAATGGGTAAAAATATAATTTGTAAACATGTTAAATTAAAATTTTATTGAAGATGTACCATAGGACAATGACAATTGTCATAATCGTCATTTTTGAACTTTTTTCAATTTTTTAAAGGCAAATGGGTAAAAATATAATTTGTAAACATGTTAAATTAAAATTTCAGTGAAGGTGTACCATAGGAAAATGACAATTGTCATAATCATCATTTTTGAACTTTTTTAAATTTTTTTAAGGGAAATAGGTACGACCCAAACTTCAAGTCTGATTTGAAAAAACGACCCATATTTTGGGTCGAAGTCGTTTTTTCGGCTTGAACTCGGGTCGAGATCAAAAAAACGACCCAAACTCTGAGTCGAAGTCGAAAAAACGACCCGAACTTTGGGTCGGGGTCGCGACTCGCGTCGTTTTAACAACACTAGTTTTGGGGTTACTTTATGATTGCATATATAATTATATAATATTTTTTATTTTTTACATAATTTTCAATGCTATTAAAGGTGCTTTTAAAAAGTAACTTGCTATAGCTACAAACTACTTTCCCCCAAAAGTGGCTTTATTATTAGCTACTTTTTCAAAAAATAGAGCGCGATAGCTATTAGATTTTAATTATAGAATAGCTATTTTAGTAGCTACCTTTTAAATTATTAAAATTTTCCTTTTAAATATGGGTGAAGAAATAAAATATTGCCATCCCAATTATAAATTTTTTTTAGCATATATTAAATTTGAAATATAATAATATCACATAAAAAAAAAATTTTTTTATATTTTATTTTTAGAGAAGATGTCTCAAAATATTCGTCAGACAGAGAACATCATATTTCACCAAAAACAACCCATGATGGACTAAACTCTACAAGAGAACTGGGTGGGTGGGATAGGGGTATTATATTTTATGAAAAGTGACTTTTAAAGAGGGAACTCTTTAAATATTGTGAGATCTGATATGGATGATCTCAAAAAATTTGTTGAATAATCAATATTAATATTATCATTATTTTTATCATCCTCATCGGAAATATCATCGATTCTCGTTTTGTTAAGCGATTTTTTTTTAAATATTGAGTTTGAAGATTATATATTTTTATTTCATGAGCTAAAGCTTCAATCCAAAACTTTTGGGGATAAAGTATTAAGAGATGTGTTCTTTAAAAAAAATAATTTTCTGTTAATAAATTCTTTCCCATCATTACCTGGTAAACTTTTTGAAGAAATAGACCCATTTTTTATTTTAAATTTTATCTTAGCTAATTGTTGGGAATATGCTTCCTCTGTTATATTAATTATAATTATTCATATCTTAAAATTGTAAGATGAAGTTTTGCTTACACTAATTTATTTTTTGACTTGCATAATTTGCATGTAACTGACGTTTCAATATTTAGATTTCGTTTACCTTTAATCTTAAAATATTATTGATACAAGTTAAAATCAAATTTAAATATTTCCGGAGCTATTCTATAATTTCTATCTCAAGCTCCCCTTCTTTCCTTTGTTTTTTACCTATTTAAAATATCTAAATGAAATCTATATATCTCGCTCAGATCTGAGACAAATCGACTCATTATTTTATTCGACAAAATTAATAAAATTATCAAGGTATGTTTATTTACATTTAAGGTAATTTATTGCAAGTATTCAGTCTACATTTAGACCTGGTCTTTTAATCAACAACATAAAGAATATGTTTTTTCCTAGAAGACAGGTTAGATATCGCAACCACTGCTCTTTTAAAAGGTTTGCTCTCGCCATCACTCTCTGAACTTGAAGATTCATCCATATTATCATTAATTAAATATTCCAGCAATTCAATTTTAAACTCATAATAATCCATTATCTTTTGATGATCTGCCTCCGAAATTTTTTTTAATCTGGGCCGGGCCGTACAAATGGTACCTCTGCAGGTCTCTGATGTGTACATTAATTATCTGCAAACTATAACCGAGTTATAACTGTTTTAATAACATGAAGTTAGCGGAATTTTTTTTAAAGGTGAGGATCAATTACCGAAATTTATGCCAAAGTGTAGAGCGTTAATTGATCCTCCAGAATCTTTAAACCGCATCGGAATAAACCGTTCGTGAGTTATGGGCAAAATAGAAAGGTTTTGGCATTTTGCCAAAATTTAAAATTCGAGCAATCATTTTTAAGTTAAAGCCAATATTTAGTGTCTTAATTGATCCTCCGAATTTCAAACGGAATGTCAAAAAAATTAAAAGAAAGTGAGTTATCAACAATAAATATTTCAAGGTCAAATTTCGACCTGACAAATTATGGATATGAAACTTATATCATTTTTTAGTTCTCCGTTGATAACAAGTGCTTAAGAATTATATCCGAAAAATTAAAATGTAAAAGTTAATAACAAAATTAATAAAAATAAATTACGGTACACTAAAACAAAATCGAGTGAAGCGACAGACATTCTATTATTTTTGCTATTATTTAATGATTGTAAATTTTTTATGAGCTTACTAAATGTTTCAAGGTCAAATTTATACCGCTGAAATTATATATGCAATGTCCTATTAAATTTTATCGATTTAAAAGGCCAATGATAAAGCTCGAAAGCCTATTAACTCTTATAAAAGTATATTCCTTTTTTATTGATAGATCTAAACTATTTTAAAAAATATTAGAAAAATATATTAGTAATTTTGAATTACAAGTAGCTATCTAGAAAAATTATGTATTATTTAATTTAGCCAAGTTTATCGGTATGGCTTTTGTATTTGTCGTTATATTTTAATCTAAGTCGAAGTTTTAATATTATCTGTATTTCATATATTATTTGTAAAATGAATGTATATTAAAATGAACTTAAATTAAAATGAAAGTAAATTATAATGAAAGTAAATTAATATGGAAGTATCTTTACCTTTATTAATTAAATATTTTCTTGGTCTATTCTATAATTTAAGAATCTCTATTATATAATTTCTTGGTTTCTTTATTAATTAAATATTTTCTTCGTATCTTCAATAATTTACAAATCATAAATTTTCTTTTTTTTTAAACAAAAACAAATTAATTAAAATCCCTCTTTGTTGCCACTGTATTTTTCTTTTTCTACAAAAATAAACAAAATACATGGCTAACAACAGGTTCGTAATATATATATATTATAATACAATTAATTTTTCTCATTCTAATACAACTAAATAATAATTTAAAATATTACAACACGTCCACCCTATTAAGGCTTAGTGTATATAATCTCCTTCAATCTTCTTCTAATAATGTCATTTTGTGTCTTAAAATGCAAGTATGATACCTTTGCCGTCAAATCTTTCAAAAATGCAAAAATAAATATATATATCTTCCCCCTCCCAGCTCTATGTATAAATTATTCTATTCTAATTTTTGTTTGATTATGGTGACGAATACCCTTCCGTCCCATTTTCAAATTTTATACGATTTAATTTCTTTCCTAAATTTTCTATTACTATCCCTCTTTCCCATAATTTATCCTTATTATTATAACATCTAGCCCATACTATTTGACCCATATGATATAATGTACTATTGATTTTATTTGATAAAACCTCTATATCACATCTTGATTTTATAAGATCCAATAATACTTTCGTCCTTCTTCCCTAAAATCTTTCAGTTGGAGTAAAACCTCCACTGTTTTTGGAATTATTATAATATAATTGTGCAATCCACACTTCACCCCTTTCATATTTGGCTTTCTTTAACCAACTCTTAACAATAGCCACC